CTCTTGGATAATACCAAAATTCATCAGATGCATACATGTCCCATATTTAAATACGCCAGCTGAAGTTTCTTCAGATATTCAAAGCTCCAACTGTGTTGACTGAATAAAACAATACAAACTTTAAACTCCTACCATTCCATCATAACGATCTCCAGGTCTGCCCCTTCGGTCATAAGACATGAGGTCTCTAAAATAAGAAAAGCAGCAGCACGTCACTTGTTATAAAAAAGCTGGTATATGCTAATTCAAATTTTCACACTCATTGTTTACACAAAACTCAAATTCTGGCCGTTTTAGTCAAGTTTTAAGTAACGTTACAAAACACTTGACTACTAACTATAGTAGGGGTCAACTACTACAGTATAGCAAATAATTCTATTAAAACACTTTTCAAAACAAGCGGTGCAGTACTACCAACATGCAAGGGTGAAGCACAAATATGATTTAATAAATTCGACTTTCACACAGTGCATCTATGCAACAACTCACCCGCCACGAGGAGGTGGTGGTGGCGGAAGGGGAAGATTACGAGCTCTGCTGCCACCTCTGCCCCCGCGACCTGGGGGAGGTGGTGGAGGTCCTCTGCGAGGGCTCATATCATCATAGTCTCTTCTTGACGGAGGCATGGGTCGTCCACCACGACCAGGAGGCATTCGATCAAAACCTCCTCTTCCGCGCATTGGAAAGCCTACAGGACGTCCCCTTCTATCATCAAACATCATCGTGAAGCCACCATAATCATATGTTTCATCATAGAAATTGGGATCGTAAGGCTGGGCCCGTCCTTTAATTGGAGACTAGAACAATCAAAGCAAAAACATACCCCTCCCTGAGTTAGTACTGACTGCTAAGAATTACCATATGCAAATTATATTAAACATAAATATGAATTTATACATTCCGAAAGGACAGAATAAACCTACTTAAAACACATTACCTCAGAAATAAGATCCAGGATAATCTTGATACATTCCACAACTCTATCCGGTTTTCCTCCAATAAGCACCACTCTGTCAGTGGAATGAGGACAACACTCTTGGAAGAGCTTAATGGTGGTCTGAGTGTTCTGTTGAAGAAAAAGCTCACCATTTTCAATACAAATATTTATACTTTTTATGAACTTACTGAAAACAATTAGGGTAATAGACATTAAAACACCTTAAAAAAACAAACAAACAATAAAATCAAACTATTCCGCTCAGTCATTTTAACTGCATGCTTGCTTCTGTGTCCTTGCATCCAATTTAATTTTAGATTATCTTTTAAAGACCTACAGTGACATTTTGTATGAAGTGCTAGTGAAAAGGAAAAACATTTAACTTCTGATCTTTCAATTACGGTTCACCTATACTTTCATTCAGTAAGTATCAATAACAGAACCACATATACATTGTCCACATTGTAAGCTTACAGGGTATATTAACCTTCACATACCATAAAACCTACTCTGGATGCATAAAACCTTGCTCTGGATGCAAGACAATGATGTTTCTAGGATTAAGTTGTGTCATCTTACCTCCCTCAATCCACACAAAAAGATAAAGCTTACATCTAAATTGACCTGAAGCTGCCTTTGATACAATGCCAGAGAAAAAGACAGAAAACAACTCTGGATCTGTAGAAACCACTAGCTTTTGAAAACACAGTTTTATTCCTCCAGTGATAGAAAAATAATCATCTTCAGGGAGCAAAAAATTTATTTTCTTTATATAAATTGTTCTACTGCTATTGTGCTTAAAAGCCTGATGAAAAATCCTATCATCATTTTATTTCTGATGGTTTGCAAGAAGTAATAATAAGCAACTCTGTTATCAGTAGACAGGCATCCTATCAAGTATGTTGTGAAAAAACTATTAAACACAAGATACCAATACTTGCTGCTTATGAACATAAAATATTCCAATGTTTGTACAGCAAAAGCCAAATCTAAAAAGAACAGGGAAAAATACCTCTCTGAGTTCTTTGATTTTAGCACCCTTGACACCAATAATTCCTCCTGCCAGACTCTGGTGAATTAGAAGTCTTAATTCGCAGTCAAAGTCGCTGCCTTTGTAGTGTTGATACTGTAAATAAGATTTATACAAATAAAGTATAAAACACTATTCTCAAAAAACAGCTAAAACACTGGTGGCATTTTTCTTCCCCAAACACCATGTTATCATGTAATTTGCTGCTGAATTTTAATTCCGTATTTCCTAAGATACAATCAGAATTACTTAAGCAGCTTGCCTCAAAGTGAAGCAGTCTCCAAATAACTTTCCTTATTTCTTTCATCACATTGCCTACCTTCCTACACAAATTCAGGAAGATATGAAACAGTGCAACACACTTTCTCGTGCAAAGTCAATGCAGGATACAAATTACAGAACAGCTACATTGAACATGAGCCTAAATACGTTAGGAAACAGATGTCTGGAAGGGGATGAAATAGTTCTAAGCACGAATTTAGTATGCAGAGACTGCCTCCATATTCTACCAATAGAGAGCTTCAGGCCTCTCAAAAATAGGCTGTCTTTATTTTACGATATAACATAATAAAATAGCATGGAAGCATCGAGAATCATTTTGTTCTAAAGGCTGAACTTGTTCCTCTGAAGAGAAAAAAAAAAATCTGTAAGACATACCTCTTCTAAAGTAGGGATAATCTTCTTCAAGATTTCTCCAATTGTCTCTATATCTGCACTTATACTCAAGATGCTGTCAGGCCGCAAGTGCCAGGTAATATGGAGAAGGTGGAAAAGAAAAAGTGAAAGTAAGTTTTGTGTTCATAATCATGCACAAAATCCTAATGAGATCTACTACACAGAAGAACTTACAATTATTCCCCATTTAAAGTAAACCTGTTAACTGAATTTACGACACATGCATCTTTGTTTATGCCCAATATATATGCATGATAATTTTAAGATTAGGTAGGTCATGCAGAGAGAGAGAGAGAGAGAGAGAGAGAAAGAGAGAAAGAGAGAATGGGCTTTGGAAGGGCTCAGATTAAGTGGGCAAGAATTGACGCAGAACTGAAAGTAGAAGTGAATATTCATGTTCCCCGCCACCACTAATTTAGGATTCCCTCGCTATTACATTGGTAGAACTGGCACACCTTCTCGTAGAAAAAGTGGGGATATGCAAGTGGTGAACATTATATCTGCAGTAAAGTTATGAGACCAGTTAGAAATTAGATTACTAATGGGCTCTGCAAGAAAACAAATACAAATGCAAGACAAAAAAATTGAAATAAAAGGAGTGGATTGTTTGGGTGGGCAATTCACATGAGTTCAGTGACAAAAAGACTTAATGGGGAAAATAAGACAGAAAACTTGGGGGAAAAAATAATACATCGTTGATAAGGGGATACTACTTAATTATGTAAAAGGCAGGTAATACAATACATTTCTTTCTTTCTAATCAGGCAGTGAGGCATAAACTGTTGGGACATACCGCTCGGGGCCACTGCTGTCTGGGACTGAAACACTGGCATTGTACTGCATTGGTCATTGGCGTTCGTGGATGTTGGCATTGGGCATGGGTATTCAATCAGAAGTTGTCAAGTATGGCACCCGTTTGGCAATGAGCACATTTTTGGGCATAGCCAACCAGGGTTTTCACATGGGCGTTCAGGGGCGGATGGGCCAACGTCATGGTGGGCAACGCAGGGGCAAGTCGATCCAGTACATGGGCAACGGAGATATATGGCCAAAAAAACAAGGAGAGGGAAAAGGGGGAAAAGCAATAAATTTAAATTTAATACAAACTATACTCATTACTCTCAATTAATGAAACAAACTCAAGTTGTTCTGAAGACTAATACAATAACGGATTCCTATATTGACTGTGGCTTAACAGTATGGACCTTAAGTGAGCTACTTGATCTGACTAAACTATTTTTTATTTTTAACATATGTTGTTTTGGTAGCAGGCTGGCTCATGAGGGTAGACACAAAACCTGTCAAGATCTGTATGACAAAAACCTCGGGCAAATTGGGAAAGTTCCAGACCAGTCTGAAATATCTGGACTTAGGTGACTTGTTTACTTCAGGAAAAAAAAAAAAAAAAGACAAAAAACACTAGCTGCCAGAAGTAAGTGAGCGTATGTAGGATTCCTGACCATTTCAATCCTCAATTCTGGTTGCTAGAGTTTAGGACCTTAGTTGGAACTGATAGTGTAATGATATATTACCAAATATTGTGTTGAACAGAGTATTGAAAAATTGCTGAAATCATAGCTGATGTAAGTACAGGAGTGTAAACAAATGGAATTCAAGAAGCACTGCCAAGTTTTATAAATACATAACATTAACGCTGAACATGTGTCTAATCACAAGAGTCAACCCACTATAAAATGTGAAGAGATAAATAAGTCATGACCATTTAAAAATGCTTCCAAGTAAGAGTGAAATGTTTCTTTAGTCTTTTACATTCATGTTTAAATCATGCAACCTTAACATAATTTTTGATGCTTCACGTGTAAGCCATTGATGAAAGAACAGATGGACAGTAGTTTGTTTTTTCAATGAAGTTAAAGAATTTCTCTATCCATGGTTTAAGCCAGCCACCTGCAATGCTTTCAATAGTACTATAACTGATTCACACATATGGGAAATGATACAATTAAGCATTTTTGGCTTCGTCAATATTTCTAATTAAGATGTTAACTCATCTGAAATGTGTAATTTAGTGGAATCCTTTTAGAAATCAAAGAGGTTTAATGCAAACCTCTACTCCCACATGACTCAATCTGGGTTTTAATTACAATACAGACTGAAAAACTGAGTTATCTACTCTAAACAATCATTCAAAATTGGCTTGTAACTAGACTATTGATGTCTAGAGTCGAATTCCTCAACTTCTAGAAGCGCACGCAATCAAATTTTCAATGTAGTGCTCTGAAAGAATTGGTGTTAAATTAGTTCAAACTCATATATACTCACGTCTGTACGAAGTGCCTTAATATTTTTGCCACCTTTTCCAATCACTGCTCCAGCATTCTGAAAAACAGTTTTCAGAAGTTACGTTATGCTAACACAGCATAGCCTATGTATCTGTACTCTAAGAATGACATGTGTACTTCTGTATGACCTCCTGCTGTGTACTGTGTCTTGGGAAAGGGAACGTTTTGCTTATAAAAGGCTTGTATTAATGATAAACATTAAAAAAAAAAGACTTTGTCAATGGAAAAAGGTCAAAATAGCACTTGTTACTGAACACAGGAAAGAGAAATATATTCAATTTTGCATCTTATTATTTCAATTCCAAATTTAAGTCGCTAGACAATTCTGCCTGTGTTAAAACAATCTCACATCTGAAATATGACATCAAAGGAGGACCTCATGAGATTCCACAGGCTGGTTGAATGATTTACTTTTTTTTTTTCCTGATTGTTTTTAAACTTTTGAAAACTTCATTTTCCCACCCTGAATGCTTCTTGACAATTTTAAATATAGCTTCTGGATTATATCTGTGTATCTCAACTGACCTCACAGTCTGGTAAAATTAAGACCAAAATAAACAGTCACTAGCCTCAAAAATCAGCATAACAAAACAGCAGATATTCAAGAATTATTTAAAAATTGCATTCTTATCAGGTTATTTCAGGGACTACATTCTAACCTATGGCTTTTATTATGCAGTTCATACATGATTCTAACAGCATGTGAAAGTTCTTAACACTCCACACAACCTGACAATTGGTCAGAAATCCCACGCAGATTTAAAGCAACACTCCCTCTCCCAACACAAAAGATGGAATGACTTTAAACATAGCAAAATCAAGTTCATCAGTAACAGCTAGAAACACAAACACAGATTAATGAGCAGTTACTCTACTGTGGTACTGTGGTAATTTGAACTAGTCTGTGGAAACAACTGCAACCAGCTTACTCCCACTCTTCTTCCAGGTGATACTTAAAAAATCCATTTACTGAATCTGTTAGGAAGAATTAATAAGATCCTGAGCAAGTCATCTTACTTCTCACATTCAATTCACAATCATGAGCTGATCATTCTCCAAACCGTTTGCCAGAGACCAGTATGCAATCGGTCCTCTCAAAATAACAATCTTCCATTCAAGCATATGATGTTATAATATCTGTTACTACTTTTCCAACATTTTAAAATCAAAGAGTCCATTAAAGACTTATCCTTGAAAAAAAAGAATTGTATATAATGCCATTACAAGACACTTCTACCACTAATGCACATATAAATGTTCCTAAAATGTTATACTAAATAAAGCACATAATCTTCCTAAGCATACACCAAAGAACACTCAGTCACCACTTACTTAAAAAATCCCTAAGCAGTAGTAGTAAGATGATATTAGGAACAACAACAACAACAACAACAACAAAAAAAAAAAACCCACACATACTTTGCTCTGAAGCAGGATGCGTAACTCAACCATCTCATCTGTATTTCGGGATCTTTTGAAGGCCTGTTCTTCTTCCATGTCTTCCGCAGGGCGTTTGCCTGTAGACAGGTCCATAGTAGGGAAACACAAATATTTATTTAACTTTCTAAGTTGTAATAAAATGGAGTGCATTCCAAGTTTATGCACTGTATTTCTAAGAAGCCGTACCTTCCTATTTCTCCAACACTACTTTTTGACATCTACGTTGAGATTCTGTAATGCAGAATTTTGTTTATTTATTTAACTTCAACCTACAAACAACCGGTTATTGAAAGCATACTTAGAACCAGTAAACTACCATTTAAATGATAATTTTGCACATTTAGCCAGTAACCAGTTGTTATAGTACTGGTAAGGCAGCGCACCATCACCCACTATTTAGCTATTTTTAATTTGAAAAAAAAAATTACAACTAGAAAGACCCTTCCAGCCAAAACAAAAAGCTCATAGTTTGTCCAATACTGACTATCTGATAAAGCAATAGGAAAACTGCAAATACTGTTCCAAAAAACTGGCATGAATAATCTTAAAACCAGTACCTTAACTTCCTAATTATTCCCAAAACGCTTTTAAATGAAGTGAGCATTTAAAGAAATTCCAAGTATCTATACCTGCCATGCACTAACTGCAATTAAATACATGCAGTAAAGTATGCCTGACAGTACTTTTTTTCCTTCTGTAATGACACTGTGCAGACAAATACTTAACATTTAACGCTCAAATATTTTCAGAACGATAGCTGTAATTTCAGCTACTTATCCCATATCTAAAATATCCTCAAAGAAGAAATATGCACTCATAATACAAAGGCATGTATAAATCTATGGGATAATTGAAAATTGCAAGATTAAATGCAAAACTATTGCTGATATTAACATATCTAATGCAGTTCAAGCATAGAGATGTTCAAGCATAGAGAGCAAGATATGTTAAGCATTATTTCCCGAATAAAGTAGTCCTTTAAAAAATTTACCATTTGTCTCTGTGTTGGTAAAGGTCTCCTCCTGCTGTTCAGTCTCCATTATCTTTTATTCTTAGGTGGGCAAATAAAACCTGTTGCAGAATAAAAAACCTATTACTTCTAGTTTATGAAAAAGCAAACTGTGCATCATGGTAAAGGGAAAAAGCAAAAAGAAATATCTGCTTCTAGAACTTACCAGTATTTGGTAAGTTGGAGAGTAAAACTCAAGTGTTCTGGGCGGGATCAAAAGCGAACAGCCTACTGCTTCAGAAGCCTATGAAAATAGCATATATTAGTTGTGGTTCTGTTCATCTATAGCTCTGAATCTTACAACTGTGGAGGCTGTAACCTCCTTACAATAAGGAGGTTAGTCCTGAACTTTTGCTGCAGAGCTTGTCTTTATAAAAGCAGCTTAAAAAATGCATCACTTAGAGGAGAAATAGCAGTAAAATTGACAGTTAAACAACTTCAGTCTGGATTATTCTTAGTTGTAAGTATGTTTGCCAGTTTTAGAAACTCACATGTACTTAAAATTATTTCCAGATATTTAAAATGAGCAAATGTTCAATTCTATTACAGCATGTTATTTAACGCATGCTTTGGATTTCCTTCTAAAGGGCCACTGTTTAAATCTTCTCCAACTGTATAGTTTAAGAAAAAATAGAATAATAATAATAATAATAAAAAGAGTCAAGCATGATAATCACTGACACTGGTGTTACAAATTCCCTATATATTTAATAACAGACATGGTAATACAGCTCCAACCAGGCTGGATAAAAGACCAATCATGCACAAGACACCTTTTGGAAAAACACCGCAATCTGGTTACATATAAACCTCTCCCCAGATGCAATGAAGAAACTCAAAAACAACTTAAGTTCCTTCTGATTTTGTGAAAAAAAGGCATGTCATTTGTGATTTAAGTTCATCTGAGAACTTGCAAGTCATATTGAAATTCCACGCAGAATAAACGAATCGGGGTATTATTTTCTTCAAACACATTTCAACGGACAATACAGCCCAACACAAAAAGCTAATCTGCCTACCCTCCCCCCGCCGGAAGACTTGAATGTTCCTCGAGTTCCACGGCCTAAACAAAAGGGGAAAGATGCCTTGCAAGCCGGAGGAGAAAAGGCTGTGCGTGCCGCGCTGCTTGGGGCCAGCTGTTCGCTCGCAGCTGCTCCGCTGCGCGGG